GCCCGAACGGCCGAACGCATCCCCAAAGGGTCCCACACGTTCGGGCGTTCGGGTTCGGGCGTTCGGCCCGTCCTGAACGCCGGTAACCTTGATTACTATATTATTATATATGATATATTCATATCTTAAATCAATAAATATGTACATCTCATGAAAATATATTTTTATTATATACAATTATAAATTGTAATAGTCTAGGCTACCAGAGTGACGGCTGAGTGTGTGTAAGCACGATTTCACTACGTTATCTGTTATTTTTGAACCGCGGTGTGGCGGTGTGTATGAAACTTTCGAGTTAGACGGGTTGAAAGTTGTTTGAGTTCGGCATGCTCTGTGAAGCGTGGACTTTTGTTTTTCGTTTATTCAACCGTGGGAACGTCGGGCCTTGGCCACCGCGACTACGGGCGAGATGAGCGACGAGACCGCTATGACGAACGGGGACGTGATGGAGCATCCGATCAGGGTCGCGATCGTAGTTGGAACTCCAGGAGGGAACGAATGCCGGAACCGAGCAGATCTAGTCAGCAAGACAGGGGCAGAGACCAACCTAAGAGGTTCGTGCCGGTGTGCTACGGGTGCGGGGAACCAGGACATTATACAACCAATGCCCTAAGCTCGTCGGCGAAAGCAGCACAGGACCGGGGAGTTACCGAGGGAGGCCTATGTCGCCCGACCGAGGTGAACGTCTCTATGGACCAAGATCTGTATCGGAGCAACCTGGGGTACGGAGACAATTGAAAGATCTGGCGTGTCACCAACATGAAAGAGTATATTGATAACGAAAATGCGAAGAAAGCCGAAAAAGGGAAACGAAAGGTGGAGAAATTGGAGCAAAAGCAACGTGAAGAGGCTGAGCGCTTAAGGATGGAGGAACAACGCTTGGCTAAAGAACGACGAGCGAAGAGGAAGGAAGATAAGTTCAGGAGAGAGGAAGAGCTTAGAGAGGAGATGCGTAAGGAGCTGCGACTTGAGCTGTCGATGCATGTAGGCGGCCTTCGGGAAGAACTCCAACTTACCTTCGACCGCAAGAAGTGGGAGGATGCTAAAAGAAAGCAGAAGGCTTGTTTTACGTCTGACGATGAGTCGGATGACTCCAACGAAAGTGAAGTTGAGGCGTTAAGCGCGCAAGCGGACAGACTCGTGATTAGCGAGAAGCGTAAGCGCAGCGGGGAGAAGCCGGTGGGGGACAGCCCTCCCATGGAAACTCCGGCGAAACGGACGGCGAAACAGTGCGTCCAACTCGGTGTGCGCCACTCGCTCAAGAAACGATCACCGCAGCGCAAAACTCCCCTCGCTAGGACAACAAGGAGGAAGATCCCAGCGGCTCCAGGATCCTGCGGTAAACTGAGGTATATCACTGACAATATAAGGACTCTGGGGGAGCTAACTTTAGAAGAACTGCGGCGTATATGTCGGGATGAAGACGTGCAGTGCGAAGGCATGAAGAAGATGCCGACGATTCTTGCCATCGCGGACAAGCACACGAAGACCGCATATGGTTCGGAAGAGGAGGAGGCAGTTGTACGGGAGGGGGTGAAACTAGATGATGAGGTGAGCTGTGACGCCACCCGTGAGGATGAGTGAAGTGCGTCGAGATTGTGGACCCTCTGTCGTATTTTGATCGATGTTCGCCGTGAGATTCCGTTTGATGCAACTGTCGAGATCGTATTTAGGCTTGTGGTTGTTCTCCTTGCTTTGTCGAACGAGATACAGTGGTTACGCAAGTGCATAGGGTCCTGGCTACGATTGTACGAAACATACGGTGCTAGTTGTTTTGGGCAAGACTTTAACTGTGTATATGTGTTGACGTCTCCAATATGTAGGGCCCAATACGTAGGGCAGACCAGCCGCGGGGGCACGATTAGATGGAGATAGCATCTGTCCGTCTGTCGTCGTGGCCAAAAGAAAAACCACCTATATAGATGGTGGCGCTCGTTCGGCACCGAATCGTATGTCCTATTACCCGTAGAGCTTTGTGTCGCTCAGGATCTTCCCACATTGGAACTGATGTGCATGAAGCAATGGAGCCCAGTTTTAAACATCGTGGGGAAGGTATCGAGTAAGACTAAGGCGGGAGTGAAGAGGAAAGGCCGACGTGAAAGAAGTAAGGTCGTACATCCCCCAAGCACGGGTCAGCAAACTGGTTTCTTCCCCGTGAAAATCCGGTGCAACGAAACTGATGAATGGCATGTTAATATCTTTGAGTTGCTCGCTGACCTCGAGGCGTCTGACCGTAGAGCTCTGACGGTATACATTAAGCAGGGTAACAATTGGGGTGGCGGATGGAAATCCATTAGGTCTGCCTTCGGGAATTCGGTGCTAAAAATAGGGGGACAACGTCTGTTATTAAAACACTGTAAGACGAGGTTGGAGCAAGGAGGAGCAGTGGAGGTCTGTCAGCTACGGCGATGGAAACCGAGGTGTGCACCGGACAAGCGTTTTTTGATGTCACTTTTGAAGAATCCCAAGCGCATCCCGCTATTGCACAAATGCAATCTGGACGCGCTGATCCGGCTTAACGGTGTAGCCAGGGACTTTCAAAAGCAGTCTACGACAGGTTATTTACGGAGGGTTATCGCTCGTGTTATCAAGTCTCAATTTGGTTGGAGTTTAAATGCCCGAGTCACAATTCGGCTGAGGTTCGATGACAGGATTCGACTGGTGGAGGTGAGAAAGGTGGTTAACGACAAGATCGAGGGGTTGACCCTACCACCCTGCATGAAGAACGTAGCACGTAATTGTGTACGCATCGTTTGGGTACGTAACCCATCGGTGGCGGATATCCTACACAATCAGCGGGCTTATGCGAAGGCTGATGTGCTAACCTGCACTTGCGCAGGTTTTCCCTACCCCAGGGTAGGCGGGCACGTGCTCGTTCGATTACAGGATCTGGAAGGGGTTGACCCGTTGATCTGCAATGCTAATAACGTACCGAAGTGTAATCACAGTCATAGAGGTGAGCTACTCAGGCAGGAGATTCGAGAGGGTTTGCGGTCATGGTCAAACCTTGGCAATACCACTCCAGTGGTCCATCATCGGGAAGCGGCACGATGCTTGACAGCCAATCCGGTAATATTGACGAATGTCCTTGATGTCGCCGAAGTGCATCGGCTGAAGTCCAACTTGGATGGTCTGGTTCTAACCCCCCTGGATCGTAACCCAGGGGAAACCTTGGTACTATGTCCTAAAGTTTACTACGAAGCCATGACCCAGCTGTTTGTGAGCAGCTTGGGTTATGTTGCGGTGTACAAGTCAGAGCAGGAGGTACTCGACTGTATAAAGAGGGAGGTAACAACGTTCGGTTTGCTAAAGTTCGCGAAATGGGACCGTAAGGGTCATATCGGGGAAGCTTATGTTATGCCGAAACATAAGGACTTGTCCCGATATAGACCAATCTGCCCCACCTTTCTGGAGCCTACGGTAAGAATATGCAAGTGTGTAGCCAAGACGCTGAATCACTTGCTGTCCAACTACCTAGCGATTGGCATCTTAACATCAAGTCCGTATCTTCTCTGGTCCCTCGCTTGGAACAACTCAACAAGAAGATTGGCACTCATTTGGCGCAGGGTAACTTTGAACTGTCAGCAATGTCCTATGACATCAAGGACATGTTCAGTAAGTTACCCCACGCCGATATTCTGGATGCTATTGAGTGGATCATTGACTATTTTCGGAGTAAGGGGCGAGATTTCGTACGTGTTAACACTCGTGGAAGGGGAACCACATTTGGGAGGACTACGGGTGATGATCACTGGCGGTCGATGGACCTGCAACAGGTTAAGGAGTTTGTACAGTTCGAACTCAGACATACTTACACTCGAGCCACGGGTGTGTTGTTGAGGCAAGTGGTGGGTATCCCCATGGGGAAGAGCACTAGCCCACCGCTTGCATGCATTATGTGCACCTATGTGGAACTCCGCTTTCTGAAAAGCTTGGGACGCACGAGACTCGATGTGTTTGGGATCAGGTTGATGGATGACGTCAATATCGTTATTGTGAAACGAGTGAGACGTATGATGTCAGCAGATGAGATTCAGGATAGATTCAAGCACTGCTACCCTTGCAACCTTCAACTGAAACGAACCGACGATGGCTCTGGTACGTGGGATTTCTTGGGTACTGTGATGTCCATCAATCAGTTGAACCCGTACATTGGCTGCGTTCAGTTTGCAAAGAATGAGCGAACGATTTGGGGTGAGGGCGGACTGGAGTTTAAGAACGGCCAGTCCTTCCGTTCATGGGGCAGCAAGAAGCAAAAAAACGCTGTCATCACTAGCCACCTACACAGGATTGACAGAAACACGAACATTCGCTCGCAGATCTGTATGCGAGTACTGAGCCTGGTACGGGAACTTCGTATGAAGGACTTCCCCTCGTCATTCGTTGAACGGGTTCTGAGATGTTTTGCTAAAGGTAGAGATCGAGTTTGGACTGACACTGTGACTTGGTTGTATGATACCTAGGCCTACTGCATGTTTGCAGTGGCAGGGCATGGTAACTGATTAGTACATTTTTGCTAGGATCGATTCCAGGTCATTGGGTCCATATCTGTATGGTCGGGTCTTATCTGAACGACGGACACTTGATGCAGGGACAGGGCGTCCCGTGCTGAATCGGATTTAGTGTTGATCTTTGTTCGATTTGATTTTTTTTTTGTTGTAGTTGTCTGGTTTGGCTCTTAGTATTTTAGCCTCGTTGCGTACTCGAGTTCACCGTACGTAGCCAGATTTGGTGTTGACCTTTGTTTGATTTTGATTTTTCTGGTTGTAGTTGTCTGGTTTAGCTCTTAGTGTTTTTAGCCTTGTTGCGTACTCGGGTTCGCAGTACTTAGCCTGATTTGTAGTCGGACCACGTTTTCTGATTACAATGGAAGTAGCGAGCAAGCAGGCCTCGTACTTGTCGTTTTTGGGTTTGGTCCGTAGCTTTCTTAGCTTTGTTGTGTGTTAAGACGAGTTCACTGGGTTGCAGTATGTAGTTTTGATCTTGTGGCTGTACCATATTTTCAAATTTGACTGTAGGGTATCTGAGTGAGACGGTTTCAAACCTGGGACCGGTGATTTAGTGTGTTTTTCTGATTTTGTTTTCGCATGGACGCCTACAGGGTTCGAACCTGGGGCAGTCCTTGGTCTTTTTTCGAGGGTTTTGACCCCGAGTATGAGGCGGACGAGGTGTTTTTCAGTTGTTTAGGTACATGTAGGAGTAGGGGAACAGGGAGTATATGAATAATGATTGAGAAGCTCTGGTTCTTTCCGGGTACTACGCCGTCTTACTCGCGAACATTCCGGAATGCTCGCGGGACAGCGGCGGAGCTGGGAGTAGTGGAGGGCATGGGTGTGGCTCAACGAGCCGGTGATGGTGGTTTGTCTGGTGATCTCCCCCTGAAGAGACCGCGTGGGGGCGGTCGAAACCGGTCGGGGTGCCATCACCCGCCGGCTTTGTGCAATCATCGTACATATTTTGTACTTTCTGTGCGATTGTGTACCTGAGTACTTGTGTTTTGTGCATAATTACTCATCCTTTCCATCTTCAAACCTACCAGAGTGGCCCGGGATCACTTGCCCGGCCGGGCCAAAAAGATTTAAGAAATAAAAAAAAAGAACATATTTTAAATTTTTATTTTATATTTTAAATTTGGTAAAAAAAATTGACGTGACCCTGAGGCAAAAAGTTGTTTAATTTATTTTTCTGCATAAAATAGTTTTTTTTCGGATTTTTTGGATTTTTGTTTATTTTTGCTGGGACCCTCCCTTGTCCTTGCACGGGCCGGCCACCCGTGATCTGAGCGGCCCTGCTGGTAGCCTAGGTAATAGTGTAATATTTTAATGTAAACTACCAGAGTGGCCTGGGACCACTTATCCGACTAAGGGAAAAAAAAAAAAACCGTAGGCAGAGAGGGAGAATGTTATCTTATTATTCATACTGTATTATTTCTTATTTTATTTATAAATTATATTTATTTATAATTTTATATTTATCACTATTATTAATATACTATTATGTATGATATATTCATATCTTAAATCAATAAATATGTACATCTCATGAATATATATTTTTATTATATACAAATATAAATTGTAATAGTGTAACATTTTAATGTAAACTACCAGAGTGGTACGGGACCATTTATCCGACTAAGGAAAAAAAAAAAAAAAATGTAGGCAGAGAGGGAGAAGAAAACAACAAACGAAGGACTGTGAGTATATGGCAAATATATATATATACATATACATACAGGGTTACCGGCGTTTGGGACGGGCCGAACGCCCGAACCCGAACGCCCGAACCCGAACGCCCGAACCCGAACGCCCGAACGTACGGGACCCCTTCGGGAGGCGTTCGGTCGTTCTTGCCGAACGCAGA